TTTGCTCTACCTCGCTTTCCCTGTAGCGTAAGGGATTGCTACCATAAATTCAGAGTTGCTGTGAATGTAAATCTTACTCCAGGCAGACATTTCCTGTTGCAAGATGAAACCTTACATTTTAGCAGTGCTTTTGCTTTGCTGACCCAAAAATAAGTAGCTCAGAGCATAATTCAACCTTTCCTTATTAGGGAGACGGGAAAAGACAGCATGTACTTTGTACTACAGAGACAAAAATCTTATAGTTTTCTTTAAAATTTCCAAAGACTTGTGGACATTTCTATATACCATTTGTGATGCCTAATTATAACTTTTATTTTTTGTAAAAGCTCCTTTTTTTTTTTTTTTTTTTAATACAAGTCAGCTTTTTTCAGAATGCTGGCGTTTGAAATGTGGTGTAGCACAATAGTTGTTTGCTGTTCACCCTTGTAATATTATAATTTTTTTGAGGGTTTTAAAATTTCTTCTTATGAATTTGAAAATGTCTTGGGCAAATTGGAATGAATGGGACTAAATTTTAAACCCAGAGGTGGTCTTGGGCTGCAGTTTTTGCCAATTTAATTGCAAAATTTACCTCTAAATGATATCTTCAGACTATTCCTCAGGTGTAATGAAATAAGAATCAATAAGAGTAATCTCATATTTGATTGCTCTGCTGGTCAGTACAGAAGGCTTAATGTGAGTATTTTATTTTGTGGCAGTGCTATTCTGTTTCATAGGAAAATGGAAGCTATTTAAAATAGGTATTTTTTTTCCAGAATAATAAATGTTTCCTCTATATTATCTGTTGCTTTAGAGGCAATCCAAATACTGAAAAAATTTGGCTGAAATCTCTTCTTTGGCTGCAGTTTATGTGAGAATTTCTTAAGAGAATTGTCCATGCTTCATGCACTGCCATTTTAGGCTTCCATTTTTTGGTCTTCAGAGTAGAATGGTGATCCTTGATGAAAGCTCCCAGTAACTTGTATTTGGAGTCTAGGTAAGAACCCAGTCCTTGGGAATACAAATCAACCAACTCTGTTTATATGGGACACTAGGAGAGGTTCTCTGGAAAGAAAATGATGTTGGGATATTAATGGGGTTTGTTGTTTTTTAAGAAAGCCAACATTTTATGTGGAAAGAAGATACTGAGTACTAATACTCTTTTTATGTGAAACTCCTGTTTTTATTAATAAATAACAGGAAATATAAATGCTTGGCAATGTTAGTCCTCAGAAGTAACTCTATGCAACTTTATAACCTGTTTTGGAGTATGCAGGTTAGCTGTGAATTTAGAGGGAAGCAGTGACAGGAGTGGGAATATAATGTCCAAAAAATCCTTTAATTCTGCTTTTTTTTTTTTCAAATCCTACATGATAATGGGTCACACTGAAAAGCACCATGAGGTGTGCCTTCAGAAGCATTGGAAGCATTGGTAGACTTCTTCAAAGGCAGTTTCACAGATACATCCCCATTTTGAAATGGTGGTAATTTTACAAGTCATAATACATATTTAGTTATTTAAACCAGTAATGTATTTATGTTTGTCTATGGCAGACATGGGAACTGGTTAATTGGTTAATTGGGGAACGTGCTCATATGAAAACAATGTTTTCTTCCTGTAAAGCTTCAGCAAACATGATGAATTTTCCGTACTAGCATTCAGGTCAGAAAGGATATGAAAGGGAAATTGTTTCACTGGCTGAGATCCTATATATGGACAATTTCTTTGTAATCTTCCTTGAGAAATAGCGTGGGCTCAGACTATTTATTTCATCATAGATGAACCTGAAAGACGTGCAGTCCAAAAAGGTATAGTCCTCTAAATTCTATTCCTTCACAGTTTGAATGAAAGAGCTGAGCTTTCATGAATCCTGACAAGCATAACTGGGATTAGGATAAAGTAAAATATAATGGAAGTTCTTTGTGTATGGGCAAGTTTCCACAACAGAGAACATAATTTGAAAGATATCCTCATAAAAATGCATGTAATTTATGTATGGTTTGCAGTATTCTGTACAAAGAAGTCTCATTGGGAACAAGCCTGAGACAATGTCTGTAAATGTTTTTGATTGAAGATATATTTTAAATTTGTTTAACTTGGTTAACTCAACTTGAATTTGTCTCTGCCATGGTCAAGGACATTCTACTTGAGCAAACCTGATCTAGTGGAAGGTATCCCTGCCTGTGGCAGGGAGCCTGAAACTGGATGATCTTAAAGGTCCCTTCCAACCCAAACCATTCTATGATTCAACTTGAATTATACTAAAATCATTTTCAGATATTATGACTCATTAAGGAAACTGATTTTGAAACTTAATCACTGTGAAACTTGGAAGCAGGAAATACATCAAGACTGCAGGATTGCAACTCTGAAAATGTGTTTTAAGTTTCATGTATATAGAAATATTTCATAGTATCTTGAATGTGTCCTGAAAATTTTCAAGATGCTAAGAAGTGTATTTTAGGAACTTCACATGAGAAACGTCCTTTGGTATTAATTAACACAGCTTGTCATAATTATACGGATAAACACTTCCAAAACACTTTCTGAGAGTGTCAGAAAAAGGCTTCCCCTTTGTCACTGCTTATTGGAGATGCCAAAATATTAGCATGACACTTGAACAGCCCTGCATTCTGCTTGGCCACGTTACTGATATGTAAGAAATAACCTGAGGGGGATTTAGCGAGAACAAATGGAATGACTAGTGTTCCCATGTGTTTATTTGATTTACTTTTAATAACTTTGCACATAAATCATTCAGACCCAGCAACTCAGATTTAATATTGAACAACAGTAGCTACTCTAAAGATTTTTTTTTTTCACTAAGCAAATGTTACTGAACACATACTCTGAGTTTACATTCCTTCTTCACTCAGTGATTGGTCACTTCACAAATACTTTAAATCATGAATAAAAATTAGACTACCTATTTACTCTGCATAGTCATGATTTAAAATGTCACTGTATTCCAAAAGGCAACCTGGTATAAATATGGTATAAATTGCTCTGTCCCTTCCCTTTTCCCTTCCCCTTTTCTCCTTATGCTTAACCCTGTAATTTTGTGTGCTTCGTTGATGTAGTGGGTTGATCTTGGCTGAACACCGGGTGCCCACCAAAGCCACTCTGTCATTACCCTCCTCAGCTGGGCAGGGGAGAGAAAATGTAAGGAAAGGCTCATGGGCAAGGACAAGGGCAAGGAGAGATCACTCACCAATTATTGTCACAGGCAAAACAGATTCGGCTTGGGGAAATTAGTTGTAATTTATTGCCAGCCAAAGCAGGGTCCTTCCCACAAGAGACAGCTCTCCATGGACTTTTCCAGCATGAGTCTTTTCCATGGACAACAGCTGCTCACCATCAGCTCCAGTGTGGGTCACTCACATGGAGTGCAGTCTTTCTAGGAACAGGTTGCTCCAGTGGGTCTTCCACAGGGTCTCAAGTCCTACCAGGTTTCTGCTCCAGCCTGGGTTCCTCTCTCCACAGATCCTGCCAGGACCCTGCTCCAGTGTGGGCTTCCCACAGGCTCAGAGTGTCATTTGGGCATCCACCTGCTCCAGCTTGGAATCCTTCACAGGCTGCAGGTGGATCCCTGCTCACCCATGGACCCCCATGGGCTGCAGGGGCACAGCTGCCTCACCATGGTCTGCACCACGGGCTGCAGGGGAATCTCAGCCCTGGCACCTCAAGCACCTCCTCCCCCTCCTTCTCCAATGACCTTGGTGTCTGCAGAGCTGTTCCCCTCCTGTATTCCCACTCCTCTGTCCAGCTGCAGTTGCAGTTTTGGTTTTGTTTGGGTTTTTTTCAAGGGTGATTCAGAGTAGTTTTTCTTCTGATTCCGTGTGAGTGCCAAGACTTTTCTTTTTTTTTTTTTTAATATGTTGCAACTATGTCTGCAAAGTGACATAAGAGGAATGCAAGTTATGTATTCTTCGGTTGCCTTTTATTTGGGCTTGAAAAATGTTATGATTCCTCTGCAAGGAGAGATAGTTTTTAGACTGAGATGAAAGAGAGAAAATTGCCTTGCTTAAGTAGAAAAATTGCATACAGCTGATTAGGAGAAAAAAAATTGGTGGATTCTACTTTTTTTGATAGAGCAGATCTGTGCTTTAAAGATAATTTTTATCTGTAGTTTTTGCACTATATCAACCATCATCAACAATCAAACCTGGTATTCTGTGAAATTTCCTTGATGTCGTCACATACCTGTTAAAGTACAGAGGAACAATACTGGGACTGGGTCACATCTGAATATATAAAAATTAAACTTCCATCAGGTTTTCTGATATCCTAGAAGGTCACAAAGCAAGGCTGTCTCCTAAAAGCTTTTCGTGCCTTCTCAAAATGTTATCATGCCTTGGACAAATCCATTCAGTTGTATTTATACCATTAAGCACAAACCAAGGAAGAGCTTCTAGATCCAGAGTCATGGAGCAGTCACTCCTTGCATCCACATTACTTAAAGATTAAAATCCTCTATTTCACATTTGTCTTGAAGAGAACTGGCTGAGAGACTCCAAAGTGGAGCCAGGGAATGAACTGAAAATTATGAGGACAGTCAGAAGGTTCAATACTCAACTGAGATTTCTGGTCCTCTTTTCCTAAGCGGTAAAGGTAAAGATAATGATTTGCTAAGCAGTAAAGGTATGTGTTTGATTCCTGGCCCAAGCCGCCAAGGAAAGTGTGGATAAATCTATAGCTGACACTCCCTACAAAAGGAGACTCAAGTTTGGCTTTCTCCACTTGTGTATTATTTTTAGCTTAAGTGAAATTAGTCCATCTGCTGTTTTCTACAGTGAGCATACAATCGTCCAGTCTCCATTTTTTCTTATTTTAAGCTAAAACTAATTACATACCTTTTCCATATATAAAAGAAACATATGCATTTTATTATATTTTCATATTGTTGAGGCAGTGTTTCTTCATACTCAGGGATGAAAAGGGAAAGCAGTGGATGCTGTTTAGAGCTGCAGCCATCTTTATGAATCCCTATTTATTAACTTCCTTTCCTTCTTTTCTCCAGGGAACCTTGAAGGTGACCAAAGTCATCACAACAGATAGAAAATTGATTTGAAGCCTCAGAGGTAATAATTCCTCCCTTGTTTAATCTTGGCAAACTAGCTGTAACTCTCTGCAAATTGGTAACATGCAATATGGAATGGTAGGACAGACTGGGTTTCAGTGCATCCTTAAACTTCATTAAGCATCTTCCATTCCCATCTGATTAGAAAGATTTTTGTTTGGATCTGAGCTGCAGTAAAATCTGGGTCATTGGGTTAATGGACAATAAGAAACAATTAATTTATAAATCCATCAAGTGATGATAATGATGTGGAATAGTTTTAAGTCTGTAAGGATTTAGGGGATGCTGTCTTCCCTTTTTATCTCTTTTTAAGGTAGAATATACTTTGCTTATTCCAATTTAGGAGACATTTTAACTCCTTGAACAACCAGTGATGCTTTCCCTTACCCACTTTATATATTTTCTTCTTAACTGGCTGTGTAAATCCTTTGGCTGTGTGGTGAATATTTGTGAGCATAGGCAGTAAACCTCCCTCCGAAAGTGAGCGGCCGATTTTATGAGTGTTGAATGAGTAACCAAAACAATAATGTTTCTCTTCCACTTCGCAAGAGGAACAGAGGGTTTTCATTCAAACCATTTTAATCATATCACTGTCATACTGTGCCCTTTATCTAGAAGTAAATATCAGCCAAAGTTTACTTGAAAACGAGCCTGGGTTTTGCTCAAATAAGCTAATGAACCTTTGTGAACTTTCAAGACTGGGCTGAATTTCAACTTTGGAACAATACTTAAAGCCAGGTGAGTTTTACTGTAAATATTTCCACCATGGTTCCAGCAACAATCTGATCTTGTTTAACTAGTTTAACTAAATGCTTGTGTAACAGTGAGGACTGGATGACAGGCTTTTTATTAAGAAAAAAACTGAAAAGTAAAAGCAGTGATAATGTGCTACTGTTGAAACTGTGTGCTAAGTTTCTAAATGTGCAGATTGAGACAATGTTAAATATAAATATTCTGTTTCTTCATCTATACAGGTTTATATATAGATACCAATAGAAATCAAATGTCCCCAAATTTAGTTGCATAGGAACAAATATAATAAATGTGATTTCTTTAAGTATATAGATTTGTCAAATCTAAGACAAAATGAATGTTACTAGTTACACCATCTCAGACTAGTATTGCTAATCTCTATAAACCCTTTTTTAAAGGGTTTGAACTTTTAAACATAACTCCTTGCAGAAGGGAAAGAGAACGAATGGGGGGATTCAGTGCAAGAACTGGAGGTTCAAGAGACTGAATATCACCTCACAACCAAAAGCAAATTGCATACTGCTGGTAAATAGACAAGAGCACAGAAATCTGTGTCTGTCCATAAATCTCCCTTTGCCTCTACCCCCCTACCCCAAAACCCAGTCCAAAACATTACTTGGTCTTCTAAGCAGATGGAGCATAGAGATGCTTTCACACAGCAATGCAATTGCTTCAAGATGGACCACAGTGGTTGATAAAAATAAATAATGAATAAATAATAGAATATGCTGTGCTCTTGACTAGCATAAGACGTGGGGATTTATAGAGAGATCACCCACCATTTTTCTGAAAAGTGTTTGAAGTTTGTTCCAGATAGTCAAAATGTAGTAAATACACATAACCAATATCCTAGTTTAAGGTCTGTGATTATGCAGGCAAAAGATTATATGAGTATATATGCAATGAGTGAATGTTACTGAGATAAGTACACTTACACTGGTGCAAAACTGGTGTGACTGGATGAAGAAACAGGCAATTAGCAGAGTAACATTGACCTGGAGCTCTTATTAGGTGGTGGAATTGTAGTATTCTAAGGGTTAATGTTTTCTAAGCTTCTTTTAATTGGAAGTAAAGATTGTGTAAAAGTTTTCTTTTTATAGCAATAATCTGTAGATTAATGTTTCCTGTGTTTTAATGACATGTTCCCCAGCAGCAGATGAGTGGTATAAAAATGTTTAATTAGAGTCAGTCATAGCCTGCTGGCAAGCAATGACCTTACCTTCAACTCAGCATACTGGATAAAGAACTTGCAGTCTTTTTCGCTCTTTAATGTAAGTTTTAAGCCTAACACGTAGAAAGTGCATTTTTTTGCATAGTCTGCTGAATGTTGACCATAATAACAGCACAGTAATATCTGTGTCTTTTAAGCAATTTTAGTTATTTCCTCTTTGGAGTTTACTGAGAAAGAAGGTTCTGCATGTGTGAAAAGGGAGACAGAGACACAGAGGGCTGAAAGTTCAGCAGATTTTCTGAGTTTTGGTCTTCAGCTTCTGTTTTGTTGCCTCCACCTGAAGCAGAACATTAGCTACTCTAGCTTGATTTTAGTGCACTTAAGCGAGGCTTCCACTCACCACGATCTATTCCCTAAGGTGTTTATTAGTTCAGGCATGTATTCCATAAATTACATGGAGGGCACAATACTCTGTTTCAGTTTATCATCTGGATGAGTCTGTGCTTTAATCTCTGTTGCAGGATGAAAGTCAGGGTTTTACTCCCCTTGCCATACACTCTCCTGTTTCTTAGGAAAGCTTCTTCTCATGCTGCAGCACAAGAAGGAAGAAAATCTGTCTGCCATTATATGCTGATACAATTAAATACATGAGCTGGCTTGCATTCACATGGCTGCAAGTCAAGAAGGTACCCATAAAAAATCTAAAATCTATGTGTGCATGCATTCATGTGTGCACATGTATAAAATACAATATAAGAGGGACATGCCAATTATTTTTCTCCTCGTTTTAAAATGGATTCCACACTCTTATCGTTGCCAAAATAAAATAAAATAAACCAAGTGTTTCTTTCAATGCATCTTGCAGTCTTTATCAGCTTGGTAAACATACACTGGGAAACCAAAGAGAAACTATTGGTGTTCTTTAGCAGAGAGAGTGAAACAAAACCAGACATTCTGAGAGTTTATGAGAGCATGTAAAAAGATCATTTCCTGAAAAAGTCCCTAGCTATAACTGGAAGATCAAAATGTCCTGATTGGGAGATTGTGTTAGTCACAAAATATGATATATACGTTGCATTTTGGAACTATCATCTGCTTAACACTTACTGTTGCTGGACTGGGAAAAAATAACACATATGTTGCTACCTTATTGAGTGTAGCAGTAATAATGAAAAGGGTAGAGGAGGTAGAGGGGAGAAGAAAGTAAATGTTAGAGGGAGCCAGCATTGTGTTGAGAGGACATGCTGGAGTGTAATTCCCTTCCAGTAACTTCTGGATCGACTTAGCCCCACTACCTATGAACTTCTGGCTCACTGGCAGAAAAATGAGCCATGCAATATTCTACTTACACAAAGGATAAAAACCCAGCTCAATCCCTACCAGTACATACTGTTTGTTCTACTACCCTGATGCTTTTATTTTCCAGTTGATAAACTGAGAAACAAGTCCTGGTGCAGCTCCCAGGTTATTTGCCAGACCTGTCAGAACTATCTTGCAGATGCTCAAGATTCAGTTATGTATTTCAGTGCATATGTGATTAACCCAGTTATAATATCATCTCCTCAGCACACATGGAAATACTAAGTGTATAATAATGAGTAGGACAGGTTGAAAATTATATATCAAAGTTGGTTTTTAATGTAAGACTGTACGTTTCATGTTTTACTTGGAAATTCAATTATTGTTGGAAAGAAATCCAAAGGTGGCTCAAAGGAAAATCTGCCTGGAAGTGTGGATATGATGACTGGATGTTTCATGCACCCCTGTTGCTCTGTGGGTCAGGGCCCAGCCATCTCTCATGAAACACCAGGTAGCTCAACAAGAAAAGGGATTGTAAGGCATCAAAGAAGAGGTTGCTTGATCCTAATGAAGAAAGGATAATACAGAGATAAGGCATTTGTACCACCAGTTGTTGTAATATTTTCTCAATTCAATGTTTCAGAAACAAATGTCATGCTTTTTATTTTTTAATACAGTCAATTTTAAAGGAAAGCAAAATTTTGGCTAAGAAACTTGGATGAAAACATCTTGCTTTAATAGGAAATTCTCAGGAAAAAAAAAAAATCCTGATTTAATAGTGACCAACAAAGCAGAGCTTAATTTGTGTAACAGTTTTAACTGGAAATACTGTTATTTCTGCTCCAGTGCATATGAATGTGATGGGTTCCTACTGTGAGGAAGAGAGAAACTAGAGGAAATATGGGAGCTGCCACACTAAATCAGCCCCAAACTCCGTCATTGCAGCTGCTGCTGGTGCTGGTAGTCCACAAAGAAGTTTGTAATACTATGTAAGTGAAAGAATCATGAACTACATTGAGTGTGCTTCTGATAAAAGCCAAACATTTTTAGCATTACTTTCCACTCTATATTTTTTATGTTCATGTATCCTGCATAGCTTTTTATTTTCAAGTTTTATCTCCACAGCTTCCCATGGTACTAACGTGTACAATTACATCTTGGTGGTAGAAATAGTTCTTAATTTGTTTCTCCTAATTTTTTAATTTCAGTTACTGTCTCAAATTTATCATACTTGAATTGTAGCTGACCTCATTCATCACTGATTTGTATGACAGTTTCTCAGGGGCCCTGTCCACCTTGGATGCCACTTGCTAAACCTTTCTCTGCATCTATTTGCAAGTGGGGTGGTAAAATCCTACCTTCTTTATGAAGAAAAGAGTCAGAATGGGAGGTTGAAAAGAAAGTGCAGCTTGGACTTTGTCCTCTTGGCATGTAAAAGGGCAGCTCATAAGATTGCCAGCCCTAAAGCAAGCTGTGACTGCCTGGCAAACGCTGTGTCAGTCTTCCTCAGCCAACCCACCTTGTTTTGCCTTCAGGCTGGGTTCAGCTTCCCATTTTACTTGGAAGACAGAAATGTGCTAAACTACAGGAGCCTTGAAAATCAGTTTGTCAGAGATTCATGCATACACACTGCTTTTTTTGCTTGTAATTTTGAGAGGACAATAGAAGTGCTGATGTTGTAGAACCATGGAATCGTTTAGGTTGGAAAAGATCTTTAAGAATATCAAGTCCAACTGTTATATGTTTAACCACTTTATGCTTGTGTAATCTCAGTCTTA